ACACACACACACACACACACACACACACACACACACACACAAAACTTCACTGAAGCTAAAACAGCCTCTCACAACCCTGGCTGGTACACTGATGCCGATGGGTTCCTAGAGCACTTACTTACTGGGGGAAGCCTATACTAGAGGCCTACCCTCCAAAAGAGAGGGCCCCCCCCCAACCGTAAGCATGGGTGGTGCATGGCAAATTCCTGGTAAGTGCTAGTTTCTTTCCAGCATCTCAGCATAGGTGGTGGAGGGACAGACGCCTCACTCCGTCCTCTTTCAGGAATGAAGAGCTGGTCTCCCCAACCGCTGGGGGTGATAGAGGAAGCACGTGGCTGTCAGTTCCTTTGAGAGTTACTTGACAGGAGGGAACCATTTCTCCTGGAGTCGACGCCCCCTCCCAGGGCCTCCTGCATCCTCTAGCCCAACTTGGGACAGTGCTGAAGATGTCTCCCTCTGCCGCCCAAGCTGGTCCGGAACTCCTGCGCTCAAGCAACCCTCCCACCCTGGCCTCCCAAAGTCCTGAGATCACAGGCATGAGCCGCTGCGCTTGGCCCGTCTAGCTTTAGAGTCCAGTCTCTTCCCTAGCTCCGTCCTGCTTCCTTCCAGTCCTTTCCATGGTGTTGCGCCTAAAAACCTCCCTCAGGGTCTGCTTACCCATTTTGTTTGTCCCAGGGAAGAGGACAGCTGGGATGATAGCGCCAGCTGTCGCCTGGTCTCTGTTGTGTGTGGTTTTTAATGTGAGAACATCCACCAATTAAGCTGATGAGCTTTATATGCTCTCCGGGACCTTGCCTCCTAGGAATGCCACATGCATACTGTATTTGCTAGCATAATTTCATGAGGTAGAAAAATGTGCCAAAAACAAAATTTGTATCTTTACTTGACATTTAATTTAGATAAGACGTGGCATTTAATAGGTTTTTTTTTTTTTTGAGTTGGAGTCTCACTCTGTCACCCAGGCTGGAGTGCAAGTGGCCGTCCCGGCCACTGCAGCCTCGACCTGCTGG